ATCAAGCATTACTCTTATTTTTCTCTGTTATTTTTGTTTTCATACTCAGAAGATGAAGGATATCATTTCCACCAAGAAAAGAAAAGATGAAGGAAATCAAGACGATGAAAGGGAAAAAACATGGAATAAAACATATGTGTTTCGTAGAACACTTCAACATGAAGCAATTATAGTTTGAACATTGATCTAAGTTCATATCAATTTTTTTTCTTTGAAAATTAGCTGATGATTTTTCCTTTAGTTGGGTTGTATTTCTGATTTTAGTTTTTCCAATTTTTTTGTAATGATTACTATTTAATAATAATAAAATCTTATCAAGATATTCATAGATAATATTGAAAAACGAATTTTTCTATAACAATAATAAATATAAATAATATAATAATTACTGAATATATTCTGAATTATTAAAATTTAAAACCTTATCATCAATTATTAGTAAATTAATAAAATATTTTTTTAATAAACTGACACAAATATTAAAATACTAACATCATTTAAATAAATTGATATCAAAATTAACATCAATTCTTTAACCGAAACAAATATTAACATCACTTATTTGGACTGATATAAAAGTAGTATCGTTTAAAACAACCGATTCAAATATTTATAATATTTGCATCGATTTTTAATAAAACGATGTGAATTATTTGCATCACCATTTTTTACATCATTTAAATAAATGATGAAAAATTCTATTGCATCATTTATAAGTAATACAAAAAATCAAAATAAATGATACTAAATGGTCATTTTTTTGTAGTGTTTTCATTAAACTTTAAACATAAGTTATTGTAAAACATGAGAAATTTTTTAAATGTTTTAATAACAAAATAAAAATGTGTTATAATTCAATTTATAATTAATCAGAGTATTAAACGTTCAAATAAAAAATAGATCAGGTTTTTATAAGTTTTTTCTCATGAGACACTAATAGTGAGTTATGACGGATAAAGTGGATTGTCTATCGACTACGCGGAAATTAATCAAAAATAGGAATAGATTTTTAGAACATAAAATAGCTTAAGAACTTTATAGAGTCACCTATCTAAATCTATGCATATGTAAACTTTATCATTTATGATTTATGTAATTAATAAAACTCTAATATAAATGCATCAATTAATCTTTTTCTTTTTAGGCAAAAAAAATGCATCAATAAATCTCATAATGGATCATACATAACCATCTTTGTGCCTTTAATTGAACTGATTGATATTTTAAAGTTCATCTAAACCAAGAGATTCTCTTTTTTGCTTGTTAAATCTGTGGACTGGCATCGATCGTGAACGCACGAAGACACGTTAAGAGCACGTAGACAAAATGAGAAACTGATCCCAAAACACGTATGAACCCATTTTCGCAGATCCATCACATGCCACCAAAAACTTCTCCACCTTTTCCTTTTAACACACCGTTCCATCTTAATCATCAGGTTTCTTTTCTTGCTGCATGATATCATATATTTTTCGTTTTTTATTTCCCAATATTTTGGCCTTTTTAATATATTTGTTTTTGTTCAATTTGTCCCTAGTGATACAAAGAGGTGCATGCAGAAGTTGTTAACAATTTTTATTTTGTGGTAGTCAGAGAATCCAAAGGCTAAAGAAATGATATCATCGAAAAGATTGCGTTACGTCTCTTTATTCAATCATTGGGGCACATCACATACTACAAGAAGATATATTATCATATTCATACACTCGTATACAAACACGTAATTTGATAAAAGCTCATGTCAGTCTTACATACGTTTTCTTGATAAATTAAAGAAAAAATAACTAGACCCTCGTGAACCCTCTTAAGGTATAAGAAATGATCAAGGCATCACATGAAAAACACATTCCCAAGTTCAAGGGTTTTGATGAACAAGGGAGAGTTCACTATACCTCTATAAGAAATGGGTAAAGCTTCTTGTAAGAAGAGATCTTGATTCGCTACTGGACTATTTCAGACAAGGAAGGACCTTTACTACTTCATATTGCACAAGCCATGTCTTATCGAAATGGACCATTTGTCCCGGTTAATTAGTTGTCATGTCCAATTTAAATTATAGGCTACATTGATCGTTCAAATTAAATTTTGACATTTCATCATCTCGTATGAATCATTTGCAATTGTAGCAAATTGTAAAAGCTCCTTGTTTAGATACATGGCTGATTTCTGGATACCATCAACGAAAAATGGAAACTCACTCTCGAAGATTCCAGAAATATTAAAAGCTTATTCTTCTTGTTCATGTAATAAACCTAATTATATAAAAGGTAATACGTTATTTACATTCATAATAATATTTTAACATACAGAGCATCTAAAGAGATAAAATTCAAATTCTAAAGTTAATATAAGAGAGAGAACTCGACAAAAATAAATGCAAATTTTTGCATGGAAGAAAATTATGGAGGAAAATTGATTTTCTTTGATTATTTTAAAGCTGAATGCACTTAATTAGATTTATCTCATAGAAAAAGATTGTAAAATAACTCGATTTGTAACTTAATTCATTATAGCCTAGTCGCAATTGGTTGTGGAACATAATACATGCATATCTGAATTGGGTAAATGAACTATCACCTGATTTGTAAAATCAATAACTCTTTCGTCTCCGTTTGATATGATTTTTTTTTTTATGAAGTTCTGTAGTCGAGCTTAATATATTCTACAAGTGATTTCATGTATTGATTCCTCATGATTGAACATATATAATTTCAACAATGAACACATATATTTCCATTACCATATCATAAAATTAAACGCCAACAACAAATAAAGAAACGATTACTTTAACAAGTGATGTCAGTTTCGTCGGTGACAGTTGTTATATTCAGTGCAACTATTTTACGAGAACAATAGTCTTTACGTACTAGACATGGAAGCAATGGTGGATCTAACCAAAATTATAATCGGAAAGATGCTTCTAAGAAGATTTGAACCCACTCCCTCTTGAATTGGGGGTGCATTCATCACCACTAGACTATTTTTACCAACATACTTAATGTGAAATCAAGTTACTTTTATTTATCAACTAAAATGAAATCAACTTACTTTTATATTTCAACTAAAATGAATTCAAGTTACTTTTATATTTCAACTAAAATGAAATCAGATGTGTATCAAATGAAAATTTTCAGATATGATACACATCTGAAAAGTTTCATTTTTTGTTGAAATAATTATTTTGTTAATACCACAAACAAAAAATGAAATTGTTCAGATGTGTATCAGGTGAAATTGTTCATATGCGATACACATATTGTTCAGATGCAACACAAATATTGGTGGTATTAACAAAATAATTCTTTTATGAATTATCCATAGTTTAATTTGTATTAATGCTGATACAACTTCTTTCCCTTATATAATATGTTTTGCCATATAACTGGTCTCTTGGTATTTGAAACTTTTTATAATTTTAAAATTTCATATGTAAAACTATTTATAAAGTTTAAATATATCAGTAATACTAGTATAATTTTTATAAATTTTATTTTATTCAATACCTGGAGTAGACTGATACAAAATTTTAAATTTGTATGCTTGGTAAGTTAAGAATTTTGGTAATTCAGATATGGATTGAATTTATTCTAATTTATTTTACGATTTTAAATTAATTTTTAGAAATATGAACTAATATCGGACGTTAAACAAACATTGTTTTTCATTAATTAAATTACGTAATTTTTACAATTCAGATAAAATAAAAGAAAGAGCCGTTAAATGGAAGGGTGAAAGCATATTGTTTACAATGTTCAGGCTTTATGTCACCATTTGACTTTGTCAAAGTTTTTACTTGTTACTTCTTCTTTTAGTGAGTACAAGGTCAGCTAATACTCATACAGTTAAGGTCTCGACAGGTTGATATCTTTATCAACGTTAT